CTTTCGGAGCCGGCACAGCATGTCGACTGCCACACAGACGGACCAAGTGGTGGCGGATCTGCAGGCAATCGCAGGCTTCTTGGCGACGATGAAGGATGCTGGCAATTACGACTCTGTTCGTGAAGGGCAGGTCCTGGCCCTCATCCAGCGGGTTCAAAGCATGAGGCTGAAGCCACAGGATGGCACAGCCTTGGTGAATGCTTGGCAGCAAGGCCCTTGGACACAGGCACAGAGCCAGAGGTTCTCCGAAGCAGTTGCTGCCGTCGTTTCGAACCAGAGCAATGCTGCAACAGACAAGCGAGGCATGCAACACCTCAGCAGTTTCGAACACTTCTTGTCAGTGAAGGACATTGAGATTTTGGGTGGTCAATGCAACAACACAATGAAGCTGGAATGCCTCGCAAGCAGGTGCTGCAGACTTCGTTTGGTGTGCCCAAGCGAGCCTTCAGTCCGAGCCATTCTCGCAGCAGGAATGGCACACGGGGCCAATTTGGGATCGCCTTCTGAATCCTATGCACATAGTGTAACTTTCAAAAAAATATTGAAGCAGAAGGCCAAGCAAGTTGGCAGAAATGGAATCCATTTGCTCCACTACCCCGGCTCCGTGGAGGAACTTCCTGCTGAGCTTCGCACTGCAGCATACGATGCAAACGACTCTGCATGCTCACCCCAAAGCCTTTCTCCTGCCGATGTGCACAAGGCTTCTGGGCAGCTCGTCATCCGAGGCTCTGACAAGAGGGTCAAGAACTCTGGCACGGGAGGCTTCATGCAGACCATGCCCATGCAGCAGCCCTGGTCAAATCCCATGGGCATGGGATCGATGCCAGACCCTTCTTCGGGCATGACAATGGTGGGCTGGCTTCGAGGCATGCAATGCATGCAGCAGATGATGCAAACATCCAATCCCGATCAGCTTTTGTCGAACCTACAGATTTTCAGGCCCGGACAATCGCAGCAGGCATCACAGGCAACTGCCAATGTTCAGCAGCAAGCTCTTGTCACATCGTCCTCCAGTACCAGTGGTCAAAATGCAGCTTGCACTGCTGGTGTGCAGCAGCCATCACAGGTTGCCCTGCAGTCGCCGAGTCGTGAGACCGCAACCGTCCCTCAGGATCCTCAAAATTCGCCACCTGCTGGTGGGGTCGCACCTGGCAAGACGGTTCAGACGGAGCTGGACGATGACGGGATCCTTGCCGCTGCCGCCCTTGTGTCAGATGCCTTGGACGAGAAGAAGGGTGAGAGGAGTCGTGCCTCCGAATCTTTCAAGAATGGCAGTGCAAAGGGCAAGGGGAAAGGCGCCAAGAAAACGAAGGGCAAGGGCAAGGGCAAGAAGGGCACGAATGGCGACAAGACCGTCGGCAAGAAGGGCAATGGCAAGGGGGGCAAGGGCAACAGCACCAAGGTGATGAAGAAGCCCGCCATGGCAAAGGCAAAGGCCATGGCGAACCCAGCGACCGGCACACGGGAGTACTATGCCAACTTGCCGATGAAGAAGAGATTGGCCCTGCGACCACATGGTTGCTCGAAATGTCGCTGGAGCCCTGGCTGCCGGCCGTGTTGCTATGTAAAGTAGTATGCTAATGCAGGAGCAATGCCACTGCTGTGCCGAATGTTCACAGCCATGCTCACGAGTTGTATGTAGGCCATGCATGCTCCATGAACGGGGTCTGGATGCATTTATGTTCTGCTGCACTATATGCAATCAAAGAACCCACGGAACACGTGTTTCTGCTGCGAGAAAAAGAAGGTGCATCGTTATCTGCGACACACACCTCAGATGATCCGACATGTTGCCAGCTCTTTTGTGCCAGTGCCGTTTTGCACATCAGTCTGCAGTGGCTTCACTTGTGTGGTTATGTCGACCTCGAGGCTGTGTGTTCCATGCCATGATGCACTGCTAACTTATTCTATAGAATATTTTCTGTATATAGCCGTACACTTTCAGATCTGTATGTAGGACTGATTGCGAGTATCTCGAATATAATTCTTATTTCGCTTGCAGGGCTTTCTTAAGCTCGCGAGCAGGATCTATAGAGATGGCTTTGGCTGCATTGGGCCGAAAGCACTATGTCTCCCAGAGTGCTCTGGAGGCAGTGTTGAAGGAACTGAAGGAAACCCCTCTTCCGGATGCTGGGTCGAGAAGAACTATCAAGCGGGCCAGGGATGAGCACATCGACATGCAAACTCCTCACGGTTCGTTGATCACACATATCGCCGTGAAGTTGCAAAAGGACGAGTCTCAGGTGAATCTGCCAGTGTTGAATCTGCCTGCTTTTTTGTGGCATTTGTGCAACGACCTTCCCCAGTTCGCAACCTTCTTCCAGAAGAGGATGCACGTGCACCCGAATGGGCCAGATCGTGCATGGACCATGACACTCTATTCGGACGAGATAAGTCCTGGCAACCAACTCAAAGTTTCCAATAGCAGGAAAATACACGGGTTCTATGTGACCTTTGACCAGTTTGGCGCCGAAGCAAGGTCCCGGGAAAGCTTCTGGTTTTGCTTGTCCCTGGCAAGGAGTTCTGTGGTGAACCAGCTGCTAGGAGGACTTTCAGGCCTCACCCACGAACTGATCAGTTCAGGCCCTGTGAAAGCTCTGAGCACTGGCTGCATGTTGACGATGCCCGATGGGCAGAGATGCATGTTTTTCGCAAAGTTGGGAACTATGCTGGGCGACGAATCAGCTCTGAAGTTTGTTTTTGATGTGAAAGGAGCATCGGGGACCCTGCCGTGTCCCCTGTGCTCCAACATCATCAGCAGAATCAGTGCTGCTGATGATTACGATGCGACTGGCACTTTAAGGAGCATATCCTGCACGGATCCGAACGATTTCGTCCTCCGGACAGATGCTGAAATCTTTCGGGCACACGAGCTACTGGAAAGGCGGCAGGCGACGTTGTCGAAGAAGGATTATACTCGATTGGAACAATCCTTGGGTCTCAACTGCAACCCCGATGGAGTCCTGCATTATCGGTCCATGCCACTCGTGCAGTCGTTAATGTTTGACTGGATGCACGTGTTTCTCGTGACGGGCCTGTGGCAAACAGAAATGGGCTTATTGCTGCCCCTGTTGTACAGTGCCGGTCATTCGGCGGAGACTTTGTTGGCTTACATGATGCAGATCCAATGGCCCCAGAACCTTCGTGGTAGAATCAATGAGACATTGCAGCTTTTCAAAAAGAAAACCTCGCCGAACGAGTTCAAGTCGTCAGCCTCGCAAGGGCTCAATGCCTATCCTTTGGTGCGGATGTTTCTGCTGAGCTTGGATGTGTCTAGCATGAACGATGCACTCAAGTTGGCCGTCAAGTCTTTCTTGAAGTTGTGCATTGTCTTGGACATTCTTTTGTCCATCAATCGTGGCGAAAGTGATGCCAGTCGTGGTTTGGAAGGAGCCATACACCAGCATTGCCAAGCCTTCAAAACAGCACACGGCGAAGACCACATCACTCCGAAGTTCCACTATGCCCAACACTTGGGCAGCATGGCTGCAACCAAGGACCTCGTGTCGTGCTTTACGCACGAGAGGAAACACAAGGAGGTAAAAAACTTTGCAGACCACATCAAAAACCCTACCAAGGGTTTCGAGGATGCCATCATGAAGGATGTGCTCGGCCGGTTCCTCTTAGCAATGGAAGGCAGCACCGGACTTGTGCAGCCGCATTTGATCTCCCCCAAGCCTGCGAGCCCTCTTCTCATGGCGAGTTTGGTGAGTGCTTTCGGGGCCGAGTCCGTGGGCCAAGCTCAGGGGGCTTTTGCAGCTCAGGTTTCACCTGGCTGCATTGTGCACAAAGCTGACTTTGTTAAGCTGAAGTCCGGTGATGTAGCCGAAGTGTGGTTGCATGCACGACTCGGCTCCGGCGACCTTGTCACTTTGCTGCAGCCGTTTGCTGGGCTTGGTCGAAACATGTACCAGCAGAATGCGGAGGGGGCTCGTTTCGTGGCCTCATCGGGCATTCAGTCTGCATGCCTGTATGTGCCCGAAGGCCCTGGCAGAGTCAGGGTTGTGCCTTGATGGAGTGCATGCACCTAGAAAAAACATGATTTTGCACCTGCCTGCGAGCAATTTTGCCCTGCACGACGGTGTTTATGTACACATTCATTCTATGGAAATGTTGTTATCTACATCTTCTATGTGCACTTAGCTAAGTCCGATAACTCAGTTACGATATGTGGACTTATAAGACATGCTATGTTGTAGTTACCTATATGCTGTAACTTCTGTATCTACTTAATAAAGTATGTAAGTGCATACTAACCCACACGCCCTGCCAAGTAGTTAACTTTTTAAGAAAACCTGATACAGTTAACTAGACGCTCAGTGGGTTTCTGAAGCAGTCGAACCGACGTCTGCCTTTTCTGATCGTTGTTTTCTGGAGAAGACTGCCACGAATGTGCTCAGAGTTGGAAACCTGTTTGCATAATGATGTGTGCATGCTTGCGCCTTCTGGAAAGTTAAAGTGCCATGATTTCGTGGAATTTGTCTGCAAAGCTCCCACGGTTTTGTTTTGACTATTTTGTAGTTTGTGACCAAGGCACCTTGCACCATGAGCCGTTCCAACATGCTCATGCCTCAGGCGCCTCATGAGGGCTGCTTGATGCGACGCTAAAAGCTGTAGGGTGGAAAGCAGCCTAGAAGGACGCTCCACCACTGAGCTGTGTGCGATCAAATACATCATCTAACACTGACGGATTGTTTGCCGCAGAAAGTTTGGAGGACAATTGAACGGTCCCTTGAAGAACTGTATCGAAAGCCACATACTGAAGCTCCGAACTCAAGCCCCCAAAGGTTCAAATCTCACCGCAAGAAAATTTCATGTCGAAGTCCCAAAAACGAGGCTCCAAACTCAAGAACGAGTTTGGATTCAGTTTGGACTCGTAAAAACTAGTTGCGAACTTTAGTTTTGTGTTCAACTGCTCGTGTTGTTTTTGGTAATGATGCGTTTTTGTTACTAGAGTCTTTTCTGCGGTAAGACCAAACTTTGCCCTGTTTGTCATGGTGTGGGGCTGCATGCTTGCATGGGTCAAGAAGGTAGTTTATGGTGAAGACACTGGCTAGGAGTTCCGGTGCCCTAATTCCTAGACACTAGACCTGCAACCGCTTTAATAAAAAAGGTTTAGGGTCTGGGATTCTGGGTTTCGAAAGCAACATAACAGCTTGAGGTGTTGGTGTGCGAGAAACTTTCACGGAAATGAAACTTGAATATCACAATTTGTGGTTTCCTGTTCTGTGCTGTACGATTTTGGCTCTTTCTGCTTAACTGGTTGTGAACTTCGCGAAATAGATCTGACACTCACAGCTTGGAGTCACTGTTTAAGATGTATATACGGACACCATATAAGTCATAGCATCTTGTTGCTCGATCCGACCGTTTCAGTAACTTGTCGCTAACCGCGCAAGTCTCCCAAGCACACATTCCACAGTTGGTTTTAAGCTCACGCGAGGCGACCACCGATACATCTACACATATGTGTGTCGGTGTAGAAGAACCTATGTCATATGTATACAGTAAATGTACAGATATATATATATATATATAGAAACATATGATCACATACTGCTGTAAAAGTATGCACCAGACTGGAGCGATTCTGGAGAAACGACCGCACCTCTCAAAAGCGACATCGACAGTTATGAAATTCGCTGGACACACACAAAACGCTTCCTGCACGCTTTTGTCTCCGAAAACACCACATATATCTCTACGAACAAATAAAAAGTGTGTGCCCCAAGCAGTCGCAACTCTGCAGAAGCGACCGCAACTCCCAAAACCTCCAAAAAACGAAACCGACCATTATGAAATTCGATTCACAAACACGAAACGCATACGGCACGCTTTTGCCGCCTAAAACAGTAAACACCACGACCCACGCAAGTCCTTAGTCCAGTAGGGCTGCACACACCGCTCAGACAGACAAGCCCTTGCGATCGCATAGTCAATTGCAAGACGCTTCTCCATAGCCAGGGCACTGCTGCAAGCAGATCGCGTGAGGGCGTCATACAAGGATTTACTATCGATGACTAAACCTGAGGGGTTCTCGGGGGTCCACTGCTGAAAAACCTTAGGGGACATACCGTAGAGAACTTCTTGCAAGAAGGATTGTGCAAACTCGATTGCATCCAGACCGTTCTGGGCGGCCAGTGTCTCAGCCGCGGTGGAGCTACGGACGACCCTTCTAAGCTTCTTAGAAGACCATTCTATCACCCAAGTGGCACCCGGCTTACGCTCCAAGACATCCTGGTCACACAGGCAGAGGATCAGTCCGCCTTGGGACTCTCCGTTGGCGCGCACACCCCAGCCAGCATCTGTGATCGCTAGCAATCTCCATCTAGAGATGGGGATACAAGGGAACTTTAGGGTAACCTTACGGGTCTTGAGCTCTCGAACCGCTTTGTTGTACAATTCTAGATGCGAGACTTCAGCTTTATCCTGGGTGCCCTGCAAGTAAGATGCTAGGAATGACTGCTCCGGGCGGCTGTGGTTTGCCACCCAAGCCAGTTGACCACAGCATGCACGCATCAAGGTCGGCTCGGGCAGTCGGTTGGAAGCTTTTCCAAAAGGCTTGGTGCACACCTCTTCCATCTTATCGATGTAGGCTTCCTGGCTGACCTCAATGCTCATGTCGGGTAGCTGACGGATCTCAGCTCCCGTGTACTTGATTGTGGTCCGTCGAAAGTCTCCGAAGGGCAGGGTCCTTTTGAGGCGTTGAAGACACTTATCCATTGCAGTTGTACCACCGCCAAGCAAATCATCAACGTGGGTTCCACACACACCGAGGAGATCATTTGTGGATTCACACCGGAGTAGAAACACGCATGGGTCAAGCTGGGAAACCACTAGGCCTACAGCACACAGCTCTCGGGTAAGCCTAAGGAACCACGCCCTCGGGGCCTCTGCCAGGCCATACGCGGCCTTTTCCAACCGAAGTATGTCATCTTCATCTAGCTGCATGAACTCTCTTACTTCGTCGTGTGGCCGGAAATTATACAGGTCCCGATTCGACGCATCTCCTGACAAAAAGGCGGTCTTGATGTCGGCACCCCAGATTACCCAACCCTTACTTGCGCAGATGCTCAGAATGATATGCTTGCTTTCTTTGCGAAGTGTCGGGCTATCGGTGGCTATTCTACCTAAATCGGGGTCTTGGAAGCCGACCAACACAAGCCTGGCCTTAGGCGACAGAGTTTTGTCATCGGGGTCGGAGGACTTCTTCCAAGTCAACACCCATCGTGAGCCTATGACTCGGGACTTAGGGATGCCCTTACCCTTAACTATGGTGGTGACCTTGTTCTCCAGCCAGCTCTGCCATTCCTTGCGCATGGCACCTTTAAATCGGTTCCGGTCGGCGGCACCGAGCTTTCTAAGGCTTACTTCTACCCGGCGCTTCTGTCCAGGTCGGGCTGCCGTCACGGCGCACTCGTCTAGGATATCCCATAGACAACCGATGTCACTAGTTATGTCAGTGGAGAAGACATCAAAGGACAGCTCACAGCACAGGTTATCAGCATCCGGAAGGTCTTCGGCTTCGGACTGACCGTCGAGGGGAGAATTGGATACTGGTGGCAAATCTTCCAAGTCCAGGGGACTACTGGGAGAAGGTTCGGCAGGTGGTAAGGATGGTGAATAATCAAGAGGAGTTTCGGGTATCGGGTGCTCTTCTTCTACACGCGCTACTTTGGACGAAGGTTCCTCAAGGTTAGGGGGGTCTTCCCTTACACGAACCAAAGGCTCTCCTCGTGGCGAGGGCTCCGATGCACGAGCACGCCAGTACTCATCATCTCTGGTGATTCGCCGTCGGACATTTCTATCGGAAGGCGGTTCCGCAGGTTCGCCCTCCTGGTCGGAGCCAGGAAGTGTCAGAAAATCGGCATCCATAGGCAGCTCACCAGTGATATCGAAGAAACGTCCTGCGGGACCGCGCTTCGCAGGGGACACCTGTTCCAGCTCGTCGGGAAGACGGCCAGAGTAAAACTCCTGTGCCAGCTGCTTGAACACAACTTCATCCTCGACCACTGGACGCAAGCTCTCTGGAGAACACTTGTACATAAAACCATTGACTACCACCCAAACAACCCGGGGAACCGGGCTGTCTTCTCTAAAACTTTCCATACCAACTACCCGTCCAGGGCCGAGCCAGGAGCCATGCCGGGTAGCAAACTGACCTTTCCCTTGCTTGCGGAAGACATACACGCTTTGACCGACTACGTAGGGACCCCTAATAGGCCTGTTTCTACCCCTTATAGCACGGCACCATGTGGTATGTGCATGGGCTCGGCAAAAGCCTCGGCAGCCTGGTGGCGCACTTGCATCTTCTGTGCAAAATCGGTCTCAGCATGGACAGCGTCCTGAACGGCGGGATTGCGTTGCTCAGAGATATCAGCTAAGCTACCCGGGACCCGGGGTTCTCGACCAAGAAACCACTGGGCACTAGAGAAACCATGGCGCTTCAGCTGCTCGTTCCGGACACTGCAGCAACTCTCGATCACTTCTTCGGCCGGACGCTCAGTGGTCCGCCAAACCCGCTGGGCCATCATTCTGAGGATCTTCTGTGCAACTTCTACTCTGCCAAGCTGCCAATGTGACTCGGTGGCACTATCAAGCAGGGTGATGGAATTGCACCTAAGGAACTTCTGGAAATCCTCAGACATCCAGCGCTGGTCCGGATCGACATAGACCACTCGCGGTGGGCCGTAGGGGCGGCACCAAACGGCGTGAAAAGCTGTTGCCACTGAACGGGGGCCAGGTGGTAGCACAATCTGCTGGGCAAAATCAGAGGCGTAGTCGACTACCGTAAGAACCTGAAATTTACGCTCCTCTATCCCGCTAACTCCATCCTTTTTCAGTTCAACCTGAACAACGTCAAGACCAACAATGTGGTTAGGGGTCTCGGTGTGTCTTAGGGCGGCAACCTTGTGGGATGGTGGAACCTGCAGCTCTTCGCACACCGGACATTTGAATTTGCGAATTTCCTCGACCACGCCAGTCGGTGCACGTGCACGCTGAGCCAGTCGAAGCATCTGTGGAATCGAGGCGTGCCCGGTGTTCACATGAAGTTTTTGAACCATGGCCTTGTAGGACCTTTGTCTAGGAACCTGAGGGTCAGGGGCATCCTCTGGCATCTCCACATCGGGCTCTGACTCCCTCTCGGAGTCCGCTTCATCATCCGTTTCAAGAAAAACATCATGGGTCGGAAGGACTTCAGTGTCCCTGCGTGCCAGGCAGGCCGCCACACTGCGGCAGAACAGCCTTGGGTATCGAAGACCCTGGGTGGCCAGGATATGTGCATGCTCTGTATGGTTCGGACATCTGCAGCGGCGCAGCCCTTCGGCCAGGGCCGGATCACTGGTGACAATGCGTGTCGGCCGCTTAATCGGCAGTTTAGAATTCTTACAAACCAGACCATTGGCACACATGTGAAAGTCTACTTCAAAGGCTGGGCCTAGGGTGATTTCCTGCCAAACACTAGAGGACACAGGGTTCTCAGCATGGATGTGGCCACCCAGCATGGTCTGCAAAAGCCACGCTTGCTCAAAGAGGCGAAGGCAGGGGCGTTGCTGTTGCCTTTGCCGGAGTATCTCTGCACCCTCCTTACCCCCTTTTGCAACTAGACCCTTAGCCTTGCTAGACCAACACTCGGGACACCAGGAGAACCATACATCCTTGGCACGGCAACGCCCTAAAAGCAAGAGCAGCAGACGCCGGTCTCTGGCTCTCCGAAAATCCTGTCCAAATTCAAGCCCTAGCTGAATACTGCAGAGACCACGGCGGTGCTCGGATTGCTTGGAGAGCGATGTCGGGACAGACGATACTTCTATCAAGCCTATAGGATCGCTAAGCTTAGACCCTTGATCCCCAAGCCATTCTTTAAGTTCGTCTTCGACCTGTCTTGGCTGCTCTTCCAGGGCTGCAAGTGCCAGCTGGAACGGCACCCTGCGTGTGGATTCGACCTGCCTAGCTATCTTAGCTCGACTACTGCTAGGGACCGGGAGGTGACTAAGGGAAACCCAATCAACCTGATCATACATGGCTTCAAGGGTATTTCCAGCAGTGTCCGAGTCCATACACGCAGGAGGCACATCTGCTTCTGGCGTCTCAGGCTCGCAGCAGTCACACTGCTCGGAAGCCGGTGGTGCTTCACTGCCAGCCTCAGCAAGGACAGTGGTGGAAGGGTCTTTATGTTCCACCGGGATCTCGGGATCTAGAACTTTAGCTTGTCTGCCCTTTGCTTTCGGCTGCCTACCTTGCACACGTTCAAGGATTACCGCTGCACGCTGTGCTTCGGGCGGCTGGTGTCTGTAGGCAAAGATGCACGCTCCGGCACGGTCAAAGTTCTCCCGCCTGGTGCTGGCAGGTCGCAGAACCCACTCTGAAACTTCAAGGGCACCCGACGGGGCAAGGTGAGCCACAGCACGATAGAGATCACGGGTCGCTGCTGGCTTAGGCACTCGCTCAAACCTAGGCCTGTAGGCACACAATGCAAAATCGACACTCTGGCCAAACATCAAGCGAAGATCGTTTTTGTATGTTCCTACGTCGGCTTGGGTGTACCTAGTATGCTTCATTACCGTCTGAAAGCAACGCCGGAGGTCTGACTGGGTCGGTGCAGTAAGGCGACATTTCGGGTCCGCAGTGTTCTCGGGAGTAGGGGTTAACTTGTTTTCTGCATTGTTATTAGACCCAGGCACCTCTTCATCGAAGGCCTCGGTTGTGTGGAAGACGGCCTCGCCCTCCGCATCTGGAAGCAGGGACATAAGAAGATGTCCGTTCGATGCCTGAGCCAAAGGAACTGCCTCCATGCCGTGCCTCTGGCTAGTGATCGTACTGTCCTTCAAGTTCAGTGTAGCTTCCATGCCCTGTAGAACTTTCCTGGACAGCAGAAACGGCGCAGTCCCTGGGATGACGTAGGTCGTGATCTGACCCCACAACTGCCCTATAAGAACAGTCCAGCGTAGTCCATCTCCTGACAGCGACTTCATGCCATTGAAACCCTTCAGCTGCACAGGAGGAAGAGCGACCTTCACTGGCTCTGGGAGGCCCTTTTGCGCCCACAAGGACGCGTACTTGGCGGCAGTGTCCTGGCCGATCACAGAAGTAGTGCAGCCTGTGTCCACCACGGCCATTCCAGTCGGAACACAGGTCGCAAAAACATCGGCGTCGCTGGCCTCGTGCGACTGGTCTTCCACCATGTAGGAAAACTCGGTGAGCACCGCTCCATGGACCATGCTCACCTCTTCCCTTCGCCCTTTTCGACCGCCCTTGGCGCGGTCGCGATCGCGGTCGGGCTTCCGACCCTCCTTCCGGTGGTCGTACTTGAAGGTGGGCTGCACGGGCAGCCCATCGGCTGGATTCGCGGATCCCGCCGGCAAGGCGACAACTGGCATGTAGGGTTGCCGCTCTTTCTTGATCTCTCGGACCTTCTTCCGACTGTCCTTGTAGGATCTGTAGGCGCGCTTTGCGTCCTGCTTGGCCTTCTTGTGGACCTCGTAGGCCTCCTCATATTCCTCGTCCACTTCGCTGCCGGTGGCCACGTCGGCCTCCAAGGCTTCTGGATCCGAAAAGGAAGGCTCGCTGCAGCTGCTCTCTTCCTCAGCAGCCATGACCGCGCCCCGGTGTGGGCGCTGGGCCGGTCCACGATGTCCATCGCCAAGCCGGTCCTCGTAGTCGGAGGCCCGGATCACTTTCTCAATGTCCTCGAACTTGCACGAGCCGCCCGTGGAGCGAATGACCTGGCTTCTCTGCTCCCGATTCAAGCCATACTTTCGCATGAAGAGGTGTCCCAAGATGACAGCCGGAAAAATCGGCTTCAGCTTCAAGTGTCCCACCTCCAGGCGGCCCAAGCTTTCCAGCATACGACGTTGGGCTCGGTCGTCGTCTGCCTTCTGAGTTCCACGGCTTCTGTGGGAACCACCCGAAGAAGGTGGCCCACGCTTCGGAGACTTCTCGCCAACAAAGCTTCCGACCGTCTTCGGGCCCTTGGTGTCGTCGGTCGCCTTGGCTGACGGATCTCCCGCTGACGCAGCCGCTGCGTCCACCCGCTCCTTGGTCAGGGGCGGTTCTCCGGAGCTGCCTCCGGATGTCTCGCTCTCTTCTTGCTCCGTGTGGCCCCCAGCATCAGGGCGTCGCAGAATGGACTCCCTCTTCCGCTTTGGAGTCTTGCGCTGAGCACGCTCCGCGGCGATCAGTGTCTCCAGTCTGCTCAACACGGCCTTGAAGCGAGAAACAAAAGCCGTCGGCCCTTCACCCGCTTTCCTCTTCAGGTGAAAGAGGAACTCATCCACGCACTCATTCAGCTCCGTCTCGGGCAAATACTTGTAATGCCCATCCAGTGCCTGCAGAACGCGCAGCCATCCATCTTCTGAGCGCAGCTCGCTGATAGATAAGTGCTCCGTAGCTCTCCAAGCCTCGCCAGTCAGGCGGGTCAAGATCTTGGGTCCCGCCAGCTTGACATGCTTCTCCTCCAACGAAGCCACATTCAGCAGTATCTTCCGCCGAAAATGCCTGTACTCCGAAGGTGCCCCGCTGAAAACCAGATCCCGGAAAGGATCACCCTTCTCAGCCATCGCACCAGCTACGGAGCCGGTCAGCACTATCCCTGGAGCCGCAGCTCCGCTACCATGTAAAACCGCAAGGGATTCCCAATGCGCAAAACGCCTTTTGCGCCCCAGCGCGTAGCTCTGCCTTCAAGGCAACCAAGGGCCCTCTTGGGCCGTAAAGCGAGCGAGCATTCGCCGTCGATAGATGCAAACTGACAGAGGGACTCTTTCGGTTTTACAATACTAATATACTAAAAAATTAATGTACTAATATACTGAGAAACTGATATACCAATAGACCATTGTTACTAATATACCAATATACGAGTATACCCAAAATTTTTTTTATTAATATATATGTTTTGTTTATATACCAATATACTGAATATACACATATGAATACTTATACACATAATGTACGAAGACTAAGTTTTAAAAGCCCAGCCCACGTCTAATATCAATACGAATACTAACACTAACACTAACACTGCTATAGACATATATTAAATTAAACTGGAGCACTAATACTCATATTAATATTAAGACTCACACTGACGTTGACACTGACACCAGCATCAGCACTGCACTGTGGTAACCACAACAGAAACCCTATACGCACACTAATCAAACGAACAGTAATATTGGACAGATACCAGCAGCATTGTTAGAACTTCTAAAATTAGTAATGACACAAAACTAATAATAATGCTAACGCTAGCAAAAATATTAAGGTTACTGCTCACAATAATTGAGGTTCAAACTTAGAACAAAATTAAGTCAAGACCAATGTTAACACTGTTTTTTAAGACTGAAACTAATAATAAGACTTTGACAAGATGACAACTCATGTTAATATCAATACCAATATGAATTTACAAACATCATATTAATGTCAATATCGTTTTTGTAATGTATACTAAAGAATACATCAGAATAAGGCACAAGGAAATGAATGCATCAGATTGTTAAAAACTCAATGTTTTCATTTACCACTATGTACGGTCATAGTATTATACTAATATACTAATAAATTAATATATTAATATACTGAGAAACTGATATACCAATAGACCATTGTTACTAATATACCAATATACGAGTATACCCCAAAAATTTTTTTAATGAATATATATGTTTTGTTTATATACCAATATACTGAATATACACATATGAATACTTATACACATAATGTACTAAGACTAAGTTTTTAAAGCCCAGCCCACGTCTAATATTAATACGAATACTAACACGAACACTAACACTAACACTGCTATAGACATATATTAAATTAAACTGGAGCACTAATACTCATATTAATATTAAGACTAACACTGACGTTGACACTGACACCAGCATCAGCACTAACAGGAACACTAATCAAACGAACAGTAATATTGGACAGATACCAACAGCATTGTTAGAACTTCTAAAATTAGTAATGACACAAAACTAATAATAATGCTAACGCTAGCAAAAATATTAAGGTTACTACTCACAATAGTTGAGGTTAAAACTTAGAACAAAATTAAGTCAAGACCAATGTTAACACTGTTTTTTAAGACTGAAACTAATAATAAGACTTTGACAAGATGACAATAGTTAATAACGGATGAGGCACACAAACTGGACTCTGTCTTTTACCACTCCGTCAAGACGCGCCGAGAGTGTAAATGGTGTCCATAAAACTGGACCGTGTTTTTTACCAGTCTGTCAAGAGGCGTCGAGAGTGCAAACTTTGTACGGGAACACAAACACCATCGGTATTTACAGTGGTTTCGGCTCTTATTCATGACGCTGTGAAGACAGTAATGAGCAGGACAATGGCCGAGGTTGGTCCTGGGGGGGGGGGTTACCATATATATATATATATGCATACATACATACATATATATATATATATATATATATATGGCGTGGATAGATTCCAGACAGAAGAGAAATTGCAAACTATTTTGCGCTCTATACTACCACATCGATGGTGGGTTCGGCTGTTGCAACTTTGGCGGAGGTTTGTGACCAGGGGCGAAAAGACACAGGACTAGTAGCAATAGCAAATCTCATCTCGTCGGTTGGGTTTCTGGTGGGGAATGGTTGGGGATCCAAGTTGAAAACCTGATCGCTTCTTCTACGTGCGGGGTGATGCCGTGCTGTGCCTGTTCTGCAGGTGCACGGTTCGTGCCTACGACAGCATTCGGCTGTGAACAGCATCAGCACAGCTAGCGAGCAACAATGGAGCTCACAAGGACACTTGCACTGGTGCTTCTGAGCCTCTGCCTCCCGAACCTGCTGGACTTTCTCCTCAAGCTCGATGGTAGCAGCTGCCAACTGATACTCCTGCAAGGCAGGGGCTTCTGAGTAGCCGGCTGGCTGTAATTATTGGAAGCTTCAGTCAGTCCTTGACATCAAGGTTCGTAATTGCCAGTGACAAGAAGGACAAGATGATGCCCTCACTGCAGACGGTGAAGATCAACCTTGGCGTCTGACAAAGATATAGCAAAAACAGCATAAACATTAACTTTAATCTAATGTGACGTGAATTTTGGGATACTATGTAGTAAGCAAATGTATAACAAATACACATGACTATATATAAAAATATATGTATATATAGGTACATGCTATAGTACGCTGGTGTGTGCATCCGCCTGCCCGTGGCTAGAGCTTTGGACCAAGTTGCTGGTCTCCAGAAGTCGCCGTCCAGTTCTGACACCAGTGTGATAGTATGTAGAGCGGAGTCAAGGCGAGATTCACCTCCCAGGGTCCCGGGGCAACTTGACATCAGCTTGGCATAAACGCGGTGCTGCGCGAAGGAACTGCTCTTGCCTAATTCACCCTGCAGGTCTGGCCGGGCCGCGATGCTAATTCATGAGATGGTCGACTTGGTAACTCCCACGAGTGGTGGGGGCATGCAGTTACTAGCGCAAAGTGCTGAGCGCCCAGCCTTGTTCGAAAGTGGGGCATCGGTAGCAAAACTGCTGACCATCACGCGTGCCATGGTCAGTGACGGGAGGAATTCTCGGGGCAGCCCGACGCTGGAAACAAACCTTCACAGGAGCAATGTTGCACGCCATGCCCGATACATAGGCGCTGCACCGCAAGTCAGAAGCGGATCAATCACAGGTTTGCGCCAGGAGGGTGTTGACGTGCTGAGCATTGTCAGTCCACAAACCGCAGAAAACCGGGCAGCGCTTCAAGCTCTACACAAATTAAGGATACGTTTGTGGATTCTGTATTCGGGGTGGTACCGAGTCCCACCACCTACGCTCAACTGTTGGGGTCCCTGTTGAGGCTCTAGTAGAAATCTCCTCTGCCCTGTCCGACAATAGCGCACGCGTTGGCCGAGGGGCACAAGAAGCGTCATAATCGTTGTGTCACGAGTCAAGCCTGGATGGCTAAGATGGGGGCCATCATGGTTGGAATAGGGTTGTGAGCCTTTTCAGGGGGCAGGGAGGGAGTACACTAGAGAATCAGTATAATGACATACGAACTACAAGGGGACACATGTTGGTAATCGTTTCGACCCCTGTCACTTCAAGAGGAACTGCGTCTGGAGCTGCTATCTCCGAGATCCATGGATAAATTGAAAATATACTATAGCATCTACACGACATATACATGACATATACATATATTAACTATGAATATATATATATATATATATATATATATATATATATATATATATATTTATGCATTTAACATAACAATATCATTGTAGCAAGAATAACACCACCATGATCCACCGTATCAACCCGAGGGGCGCTCCGGCGTCAGCTTGAGGTCCGGACGGCACAGCCTTCATGACTTTAAGAATACCAAAGGTGTTTGGACATTGTTGAGGGTCCTGCAGTGTTGGGTGAATTCAAGGCTGCTCTTGTGTTTCATGGCTGCTGGGGCCGGAAGGACTGGGACAAGAAGCATGAGATGGCGGCTTTTGAAAATTAAGGGTACTTTGGTTGGAGGATGTTCGATGTCATTATCCGATCAACGACTGGAGTCCCTTTCTGAAACGCCCACCTGTGTAGGATCACGTTGCCACCGGCCACGCCAACGAATAATGGCAACGTCTTGATAGAGGAGACCGAGGTTGACCATAGCTGGGAAACCTAGACCGCGTCGGATGTGTTGAGGCAGGGCTTTCCGGGAGAGTACGCCCGTGGCACGGAGCCTGAACTCGCAAAGCGCACACCGCTAGATTGCATACCACTGTACCAAGGTCATGAGGACAATCAAGCAGCAAACAGAGCCGCAAGAAAAATGTCCAGAACCAAGGACCACAGGTTTGCAATCCTCAGCTGTGCCATATAGAGACTAGACTGACTAGACTAGACGAGATGCAGCGGATCCTATTCCACGAGCCGTGTTTGAGTGCCTGCCATCCGAAACTACCGCTGCAAACTGCAACGAAGAATAAGCGGGAAGCCGTCAGGGGCGTAGACGCATGAAGATTTGACTGCACTGCAGGCCATATGCACGTTGTCTACAGCTACAGCCTGGCAAACTTCAAGCGGGCCTCCTGTGCTTCTGAGGCACGCTTTCAAGGTTCGCTGGCGCTTGTCGTGCACACGAGCCAGCACTTTCTCATCTGCCATGGTCTCTGCTTTGAGAGGCTGCCTGTGGCATCCAATTTTTGCCAGCAGGATTTCTAGGAAAGATCATGTAATGGCAATTCGCGAGTGTTCCTCGCTGTTCTGAGCACTGAACTGCAAACCCTGAACCTGGAATGCACTGTTCGAGGCGAGACTCTCGGCCAAAGAATGAATCGATTCCAGTAGCTCAGACCTTCCGCGCCAGTTGCGTATTCGTGCCTTAGTCCAGCACAAGGTGGCCCTTCTGAATTCAGCTGGGGCACAGAAGGCCTCCCCAAATAGACGGCAAACCCTAACACCCTGAGAATGCATCAAAGAAGCCGTCCAGAAATGGAGCACGGCGCATGCGTAGGCAGCTGTGACATACTGCCGGCACATTGCAACCAAGTGGGGGCGTCAAGTCGTCACTGACACTATCGGCGGCAGTGAGAGCAAACAGACCAATATACGAAGAGATCACAGACTGTTGAAGAGACAGTGTGCATGCAGCTTATCTGCACTCTACATTCTACCTGTGTGCAAAGAGGTACGCCGCATCTGCGCACAAGTCATGCTTGAATCAAGCCACTTCTGCCAAACCGATCAAGGATCTCCAGCAGCAAAGCGTGAAGCCACAGAGGGAGGCACTCACATTCAGTGACGGCAGTGACATGCAGCAAACCCTGCTGTAAACCGAGCATCATTGTGCACGGCGCCCCTCTGGGGAAGCTACGCCAAAGTTTCCATGAGCCATGCCATCCAAGGTGGGACCTGAGAGAAACGCGAAGGGAGGCACAAGAAGTCGAAGCCATCAGCCGGATGATCTGAACAAATTGTGGTCATAGTCTCCTATAGCAATACAATATAATCCAAAGCCTAACCCCTTCATCCATCATGTACAAAATGGGATGATATGATATGACATGATATTGTCGGAAGCTGCTGGGAGTCCGGCCTAGCACGGCCGATGAAGCGGTGAGCACTGCACCATGCAAACCAAAGCCCTCAAAGCCCTGCACGAGACTGCAACGGCTTCGAGTGCCTCTGTCACAGCTTCTCTAAGCTGCACTGGACCATGGGGCTGGTGCTGATGGATGTAAAGGTTGTATACTGGCTGCACTGCAAGCCGAACCCAGAACATCAGAGTTTGCTTCAGTTGAATTGCCTGAGGGCAGAATTTGTTGCGATGACAAACCCAGAGATGCACAAAGGGCGCAGCAGCAACCTGCAGGATTGGATTGCTGTAAGGTAATTTCATGGGCCCATCTTTGTGCGGGCATCCCTTCCTGTCCTCGGCATCTTGCTTTGAAGCGCGACAGGCCAAACCAGTGCCTGCGGAATGCACTTTCTCACAACCCTCTTCAAGGACATGTGTCGGTCTGGCATTCTCAAGGCATTTAGTACACCTGAGCAACCACAGAGAGAGAGAGTGTGTGTGTGTGTGCGTGTGTATCTATCTATCTGTATGTGTAGATATATATATATATATATATATACATATAACGTGAGCGAGTTAATGAACCCTTGATAGTCCCTTTGTCACCCTACTTAACCCCGTACAACCGTCCTCGCCGATCTGGCCTCTGTGACTTTCTCGGCGCCACGGCGCCGCGAAACTCGCGGGCTGAACCTTAGACCGTACACTGTAGTATACTTGTATACTAGTCTACTATAGGAAGCCTGAAAGGCAGGAACAATATCCCTCAAGCCCAATATCGTTCTGGCTCGACACTGAGCTTCAATAACGAGTTTCGCATGAGAAAAGCACCATCACGAGCACAAGCAACCGGGTACTGGAGCGACAGTTGACTGTTCAATTGAAAAGAATTTTGTTGCACAGGCTTGTATATGCCCGCCTGGATCTCAGAGCCACAAAACCCTAAAGCCTAAACCCTTACAGTACATACCACTTCGCAAAGAAGTTTGTTGAGGATGGGACGAGGATACTCTGTCAGCCCTGCTTCAGGCTTACCCGCACCCCGCCACTTGTACAAGGATTCTACCTCACCTGGAAGTAGAAAAATACTACAATAAATATATACTGTAAGGTGTATGATCCGTATGCATCCCTCAAGTCGCTTGCAGGATGCATCCTCGGAGTCACTTCACTGATCGGATCGCAGGGGGTGGTAGGAAGACGCATCAGCTCACAAAAGTGGACCAGGACAATATGGGGATCAGGTCAGGGCATATGGCTCGGGAAACACACGAAAAGGATCCGGGCTCTCCTTACCAAGCAGAGTATCGGCGCTGAATTATAACGTTGAAGCAAGAAAGAATTTAGCTGGGGTCAAGAATAGGGTCAAATTTAATTTAATGTCTGGAAATGAAATTTGAAACATCAGTGTTTAAAACGAGGCTTTCAGATTCAAGTTTTACTGGAGCGGGTGCTGATTTGCGACAGGCCTGATACCGTACCTGCAGCTTCCCGCAAGGGTCTGCAGAAGAATAGGCTCTGAGGTTGACTATTCTGCTATGGGTACGGTAAAGACACACTCCGACAAGTGAACCGTGACCCTGCTTATAAGATTCGAATTCTGATCATGGTGCTTGCAGTATTGGCCAAGTGGCAGCGAGGAAGCCCAGTGTGCCTGGCAAGGCAGGGAAGCCGCCCTAACCTTCACGGTCAACCTGACTAAACCGCAAGCTTGTGCCGAGATGCACAGTAGTATGACATTGCAGGATCTTCTGCGACCAACTTGGGCGCGAGAGCACACCATAGGCACAGGCAGGAGAAGTTGCACGGTTGCTGATGTATAGAGGCACAATTAGAGGGCCCTAGACCCTCAACGGCCTCGTGACCGTCTGTACGGGGCTTTACTGTACCGTCCGGTGGCTGTGCGGGTAGCAGTCCAGCAGCATCACTCTAGAGCCAGCAAAGGAGAGATCTGTCGGGGAAAGCTCTGACAGTCCGTGGGGGTGCTAAAGTTGCTAAAGTTCAGCTCTGGGCCAATACTCCAGTAGAGCAGCCTGTCAGCATGAAGGTTGAAAGCTGCTGTCGGTGCCAGATTTGGCAGTCTTGCGATGACCCTTCGCTTGAGAAATCCCGTGGCTGCATGAACGGACGCCCATGATGCTGGCTCTTGATGAGGCCTGGCCCCTTGGCCATTCCATCTGAAGAGAGGTTCTAGAGGGGCTCTTGAAAGTTCCGGCTGAAAAGCTTCTTTGGATCTGGAGCGTTCAAGGGAGGGCTTAGTTTTTCGAAGCGCTTCTTGTCCACGCCGATCAGCTCACATCCTGTCGTCGGAAGCCCATGGGGGATGTCGGTGCGCAGCTCGCCCAAGCTTTCAGTCATGAATCATGGGAGGCCGTCGAATCCTGAGCAGCAGCAGGAAGCACCACTTTGTGGCTGAGTTCATAAGCCCCAGAACTGATTAAATTGAGGACCCCCCAAAAGCATAAAGTGCACTCGTTCCTGCAAGAAGCATACGAAACTTGCAGCAGCTGAGGCTTGACACGCTGCCTAGCCAGCAAGCAACCCGGATCATGAAATCTGTCCACATCTCTGTGTGAAGAGGAAGCATACCAGAATCCGGTGTTCGTTGAAGCGTGCTCGAAGTGCAGTCGAAGTGCGATCGTCAGGTTTGTAAGGACTTTTCGCCAGCAGTGGCATTGCTCGAAACCACTTCTGCGCCACCTGCAAGCCGCAAAACACAGTCGCGGCGGACATGCAAGCCAACGCTCTCATACGCTTAACTATAGTGTTGTTAGGAAGTGATGAATGAGCGGACGTCTGAGTCCTGCACCAGCTTGCCTGCTGGCCTCAGTCTGACTGAACAGTCCGGTACATACAGGCATACAAGAAGACGTCTAAGGTAACAAACAACAACGACAGGAGTCCAACTTCAGGCGCGCAGCAGGTTTCGAGAGTGTGGTTATGTGTGATTCTTTTCATTCTCCTTGTAGCATCCCTTGAAGTACATTTCTTCTTATCTAGAGCTCGCTGCAGTAAACATGAACAGTAACTGCACCTGCAGTGCGTTGAGTTGGGGCTCGTATTCCAAGTCTGAGTGAGTAGCACAATTTTGATGAAGACTGGCACTGCTTGTGAAGCCAGTTACCCTACTCGATGCTGCTTCCACTGTCTGTATATGTATGCCTCAACCCTCGCAAAGGATGCACGGCATGTCTGCGTGCATGGATTGCTTGTGCTTACTGTTTGTCGTACAATGCTGCTGCTCTTGCTACCTGCATTGGTGCCACTCGTGGTGGACATATCCCATGCCATGGAAACGAGACAGCAGCATGAAACGTCATAGGATCGTTTGGTCAAGCCGTCTTGGTTGAAGGCATTGAAGGCATACATGAATGCGAGCCAACTGACACGTCACAACCGAGAAACATACAAAATCACATGTAGTTAAAGCATGTGATTTCGGCTATCATAGCAACTGTTGGCACGATACAGGCGTTGCTCTCTACAAAGGCCTTCGCGCGGCTTTCAGGGTAGAAAGATGGAAGACCCCGCGGATAGACCGACGCACCGAATTCCTCCCTGAACCCCATGCTTAAAGAAGCTCAGTGCCAGTCCCGGCAGGGCATGATCCGTGCCTGCAAGGCAACGACACTACTCAATACACTAGTTGCAAATTGATACATAACCCTTCTTGTGATGACTCCGCAACGCATCGTTATGGATCTGTTTGCTATTGCTGTACTTTCCACCACGAAGGACTCAGCTTCCGCTCGAACCCGTCTCTGATAGGCAGTCAACTTCCATGACTTGCCTAAACAGGCAGTGCCTCGAGGTTGGGTCCGACACTCCGGAACTGGTAACTGACCTCGAGCTGCGTCAACTAGCGGAGAGCGCTCAACAGCATCATCTGTAGTTCATACTAATGCGCATTTTGCTTGTCAGCTGCACGAGAACCGTATACGGATCTGTCTCACACATTGCTGCATTTGCAGTGTCCTGACGGACGGCTGTGCGGTTCATTTCGATTCTTGTTTGCCGAGGTGCCGGAACAATAAGGCTCGCCCTTTTCGCGGTGGCACCTCGCTGCGAGGATTTTTCCGTATGACGCAACATGATGCAACGGCACAGTGGAGATCCGTCATGGAGCAAACAGGACATGACTTGATGTACGCAACAATCAATGTCACAGCATGAAACCGAAAACTCACCAATTTGGCTTGTGCCGGAAACTAGATTCCAGGGACAAGTCAAAGGGGCGGTGAGGCGGTGATGTCCCGTGACTTTTGTAAGACCGCTGCGACAAATGGTGGTCCCAACAGCATGCCATCACCGCGCCGGGAGGATGCCTGGCACTGGGCAGTTTTCAAGCTTGACCATCAGAGGCAAGGGTCCAAGCGCGCGTTCGCAACACTTGCTGCTTGCGTTCCCTTGGCGATGAAGCTCAGCTCATGTTGTTTTCTGTGGTTTTCCTCCGTCACTCGCT